GAGTTTCAAGCCTAACCATAGTCATTCTCACTGATGCTGATGTCAAAAAGCAGGGAACACCACATGAAGTGTTCAGTACACCCACCTGATTGATTACCAATAGAACTGGGTTCTTCAAACTGTGTTGTGTGAAATTCCATCAGAACGTGATAGGGATTTGTAAGAAACTAACGGCAATGAAACCAAAAGTTCACCCCAACAGAGCCAGTTTTCTACCACTAGAAGGTTGTCTTTTCATCAGAGTTTCTGTGGATTTTTTACTTAATTTTAATAAGTTACCTAAAGTTTGAAACTCCTGAAATAGAAGACTGCAGAAACAATCTGTGTTCCAGCCTCTCCTGTTCCAATGACTGTTTTGTTGAACATGTGGTGCCTTTTAAAATACTGAAGTTTCACTCAAGGGACAGGGACTACAAAACTGCTTGGTGCCACCCCTCTACTCACCTTAAAACAGCACAGAAATACTAGTACCAAGTTACTTCTACAGAAGTGTCAAAAATTCAGGAGGTGGGAGACATTTCCTGCAGATGGGAAAGTGACCAGCCTTTGAGCTGCGGTGCTGTAACAGGATTCAGTGTGTTTCCTGATGAACCGCAGCTGGGCTAGAAAATAAATCGGTTCAGCTGCCAAACAGCAACTGTGTTGTGGCATCTCACAATGTGGAACGGATCCAGGAGGAGCACAAACACTGCATGTGAATATACTCCAAGTCTGCTAAGTTTCTGCTTTCATGAAGTTTACTCCAAATCCGGGAGAAGTTATAGGGATGGGTTAGGTAATCTAAGGCTCTCCAGATTCTAGGACTCCAACTCCAGTTGGCATGACCAATGATGACCAAGGACTGTGTGAGTTGCAGTTCAAAAGATCTGGTAGGTACCAACTTGCCTGCTGCAGTGATTTCAAGTGACACAAAAGAATAGTTTCTAGCTTCAAATGCATCCATGTGTACATGACCTAAACATCACATGAAAAAGTATGAATGTGTACATAAGCACAGTTTTATCTACACTGACCTAAAGCTTCATCCCTGGATTAAATGCTTCCTGCCTGGAGGTTTACTGGAATTCTACATAAGAATGTATAGTTGAAAACTGATACTTATTAAATCTGTGACCCAGAATTTCATTAGTGACAAGATCAGCTGCAAGATTAATATATGAAACTAGTGCCTTATTCTAAGTTAGACCACTAGCATTTTCTTTTCTAATGATGTTTGTTTTCTGCAGGATTTTTTTTTTTCAACTAGAGATAATTTTAAATAGGAAAAGAATACGGACCAAAGATTGAATGTGGGATTTTCTGCATGCAAAGCATGAACTTTACACCACTGAGTTCCTATATTTGCTGTACCATACAGAATGGGGAGCTAACGTGTTGTCATATTATCAAGGATGAAATCTGAGATTATCAAGCTTTGGAACAACATTTCCATAAATGAAGGCTCAAGAAAACCCAATGGCCCTGAATTACAACATCATGTTAATCACTTTGTACACAGATATACAGTAAGGCCAAAAGGTATCCTAGAAAGAAACAAGAGATTCCACCCATCTCACCATGTGCTAGTCAGAAAGAAGTGCTTGCACTCAAATGCACACTTGTAAAAGTGAATACAGAAGGGAGGTCACTCTCAAGATCCTCCATTTCCCTTTAGGAGGATCCTGGCATCATTTTCTCTTGTTGTTTTGGGTTTTGTTGTTGTTGTTTTAATATTCCTGAGGGATACTGTCTTAAGTTACTTAAAAGAATATATCAAACAGTCACAATAACATAACCAGAAATTTTGTAAAACAGATTAAACTGTATCATTATATTAAATGATGAGAAATTTGCTTAAGAGATAGAGTTAACTGTGATCTGCAAATAAGAACCAGAAGGATCATTAGTTGTTGATTCTCCCAAAGAAATTCCACAATGGAACCATGGAAACCATCACTGAAAAGGCCCTGTTTTAAATCTTTGCAGGCTTGTTACCAAATCTGCTGAAGGGGAATGGGAAAGCAGAAGAAGCCTCATTCAAATGTCACAAAATACAAATTGCAAGCATTTAACCAAGATGACTTTGGCAGTGATAGAAATATGAATATTGTGAAATGCCCCTTGATAAACTTCTGAAACTAGATAGTATTTTTAGAAGCTCATTCAGATTACTGCTGATTGCCCTAGCCATGTTGAAATGTTTAGCTGGGGAGGGATCTGGGGGTGGGATTTGACTGCTTTCTTCTTTGGGTAAGTGGCAATCCAGTCCCTGATGCCTTCAACATGCCTCACTTCTTTTCTGCTGATATATTTGGATACTCAAATGTTCAATCCAGCCAGGAGTGTCTAGGCATGTGGCTGAAGCATTCATAGAACAGCGCAATCATATAGCAACTCTCTGCAAAATATATGGGGATAGACATAAGAGACATAAGAGTCCAAGACATTGGACATATATGGATGGTTTATCTCACAAAGTGGATTAAAGTAACATTCAGTGTGTGAATTATGAAAATAACAAGTAAAATAGAACTTATAAAACACATTTTGGAACAAAGAAATCATTTTCCTCTGAAAGCCAAGAAAGATGGAATCATTTGCCCTTCACATAGAAAGCCATTCCAAAACATGTGGAGCTACCACAAAAAAAGATTGGTATGCCCCAGACTCCTAGAGGCACTTGCAGTGGGGGGAGGGTGTGTGTGTGTGTCAAAAAGGTCAAGATAACAATTTCAACCATGTGATCAAAGCTCCATCCCTTTTTTACATATCTTGTACCTGAGATGCACATAAGAAGGGCTGTGGCTTAGAGCATGTGGTTGTGACTGCCATCTTAACTATTTTGAACCCCACTGTGTGCACCCTTGCTTCAGTCTATTGCTCACCAGTCTCCTAAAGTTTGTTTTTCAACAGTGAGCATCCATGAGACAAGGTCTTTCCTGGGCATGTCATTTTGTCATCTTGCAACAAAAAGTAGTGTATGCTATTTTATTCCTCCCTACTAATCACTTCTCCTTCCATGCCATCTCTTTTTTATTTTAAAGCAGAGGATAAGATCTATTTTCTTACAGATCCTTGATAAGTTGAAGCTGTTTTGGAAAGTCTGTTGATCTGTTTGCTTTCACCTAAAGAGTGGAACAGTGATGTCTTAATTTCTTTCATTTTTTTTCTTTTTTCTTTTAATGATTGAATTTGAGCTACCCAATTCTTTCTCCTGGGAACCGATGTCCAGACTAAATTACAGGAATCAACCAAATCATTGATCATGAGTCATTGATCCTGTTAATAAGGAGTCAGCAATACACTGCCCAGTGGTGCCAGGGCAGCCCCTCCCAAATAACGGAAAATCTCACAAGTCTTCTGATACCATAGCAATTATAAGATCTTAAACAATGTTACTGCATCTTCATGAGACTTCACATGAAATGCCAAAATCTCAACTTTCAGATAAGAACACTGAAATCCTATAAAATCTTATCAAAACATTGAAGATGTTCACTGTCTCCTGAGATTCAGATGTTTTTGGTTTGTTTTGATTTTTTAAAAAAACAAAAAACTGTTGCTGCCTAGTGCCAGAAAAAGTTGCAGACTCCATCCTGTTAGGTGGATTGGATCAACCTAACAGGAAGTATATGCTGCTGACATTGCTGAAATAGGATCTCTGTTTTCCAACAGTATCTTCCAGGTTTCAGAATGATATACTGTCAGTGTAGCTCTGCAAAAAGATGGTTCTGATTCCCATCCTTACATGAATTATTTTTTTTCAAAACCCCCAAAACCCATAGCTGCCGAGTTCTTTTGTAACACTTTTGTAACATTTTTTATTGGCCCTAATAAAAGTATTACCCAAACACAGATTTTTTTTAATGGACTACCATGGCTAAGATTGCTTTTTCAAAAAAGCACCATATTAAGGATCTAGTTGATGATGGTGTTAGGCACCCTATGTCAAAGGATAGTTTTTTCTCTTCTATCTGTAAAATAAAAAATATAAATGAGTCGCTATGATTAACTAGACAGAAGTCACGATCAGATATTTTCTACCATCTGGACTAGTCATTTTGTTGTGCACTGTGTATTTGCCACCTTGGAGGCAAATACCTCCTTAATGAACCTTTTTTTAAAAAAATGGCCAGGATTAACATAAATCCTGCAGGGCCAAACATTTGTAAACCAAGCACTGGGTGGAATGGATAAACATTTCAGCACGGGGAAAACTCTAGTCCCCCTTTCACTTCATTTTACACTCAACCCTGTATTTATTTTAACAGGAGAACTGCATTCCAGCATCTGGTCCCCCTCACATCTTGCAAAATACACAGAGAGAAACACACTTACAACAACAACAACACAAACACACTTTGTTTCTCCCCTGGGCCAAAAAAGGAAAAAGAATCAGGGTAAAAGGATTGTGCAAAAGATGAAAGGAGGTTTGTGTGCTCTGTTAAGATTGGTGCTATTTGCAAATGAAAGTCGGAAGAAAGGAAGGGAGGAAGGAAGGAAGGAATAAAGAGAGGTAGGAGGCAACAAGCCGTTCCTTCCAGCCACCTTGTCAATTTCAGGTTTCAGGTCGGGAATCGCCTGAGCCAGGGGACCCTTGGACAGCAGTTGCCTGCCTGCCCGCCCTTGTTTACTCAAGAGGGCTGTGCTGATGGCGGCGCGTTACTTTAGTTTACTTTGCGTTCCTTAAGTTTATTGTAAAAAAAGGGGTGAAGTTTTTCGGATCCATCACGTGACCCCGACAGGTCCTGCCTATTGAGAAAGCCAGACCACCCACATGGAGAGGACGATGGAGCGCTTAATAGAAACAGGCAGGCAATTGTGCGCCTTCCCCGCACTCCGCCGATTGCCTGCAACCTAGGAGGATTATTCTGGGTTTCGGGTTGGGTGGTGCGTGCGTTTTGGTTTTTTGCTTGTTTTTTTGCACTTTCGGTTACTTTCGGAAACGGAGTGTGGTGGCGGGGCCGAGGTGGGGGGACTGGACGAAGGGAAGCCCAGACAGGATGGGAGCTGAGGCCAATTGATGCGCTCCTGCCCGAGTCCTCTGCCTCGGCGGCGGCACTACGCGAAATTGATCCAGCCCACCGGGAGCTCAACCTTTTGCCTCGAGGGAATTGGGGGGGGAGATGGTAAGTAAAAGATGCGGCAGCGGGTCCGGCAAATGGCCTCGCGCGGGAGGGGGGAGAGGACAAGTCAGAAGGGGGAGTGGGTGCGAGGTCGAGATGGAGCTCCTGGCCGCTGAAGAGCCCTCAGAGAGGTGGCGTCCGATTCACGGTGGGACGGGCGGAGGCTGTGGGGAGAGGACGTAACCACAGGAGAGGAAGCAAGGACGGTTTTTGGCAGGAAGGAAGGAGAGTGATGAGAAAGAGGGTGCTTCGCCTCGCTCCTGACACCACTCACGCACGCACGCGCGCACACACACACACCTCGCACGCACGCCTGCAGTGGCCAAGGT